ACTTTTTTTCGTTATAATAACGATGTCATTAAGTTGCTAGCACTCGCTATTATGAGTCAGTGGAGGTGGTACCCAGCTTGAAGATTCCATCCACCGACTCACAATAGCGAGTGCTAGCAACTTAACGACATCGTTATTATAACGGAAAAGAGTTGAAAATAGTCTTCTCTGCTGAGATGAAAAACTATTCCTACCACTGTCGTTATGAATTTAAATACTTTTACTCTAACGAATACAAATCACGTATTATTTATTATAGTTATTACAGTGCAACATAGAGGCATGATGAAACATAATAATTGCTTTTAATAACTGTGGTATTTTGCAGACTTATTCAATGACTACAACCCTACTGATTCTGTAGTACACTAGATTCGACAAACGTGTCGTAAACATTAATTTAAAAAATGTATCGTAACCTAACGTAGCTTAACCTAACATAATATAACCTAACCTAGTAAAACAGATATGACAACTGTGCATTCATAACAGTAAAACACGGCTGACGATTACTACAACAAGTAAAATCAAGAGGCTTATATTGGAACCAAAGCATCAGCCAAGAAGGTTCCACTAAAATCTTGAATGTGTTGAATAGAACCAATTTGCAGTAATAATCTTTCCTTCAAAACATGCCGCTTGGCACGTATCATGCGTATGTGAGCATGCCTCATGTGGAGAGAACGAAATTGACATTTTTGATGGAAACAACAAGAATTCTCTAATGTGTAATCCTATCGGTTTATTTGGTGTCGATTTCACTTTTGATTTTTTTGCAGTCATAAATGCTGGAAGATTTTCTACGTTGTCGCCAATTTCGACCATTATTCTGTTTATCGCGATGCGACGATTAGATTGTCACGTAGTATGCTATGATTCCATGTAATTGGAGATTACCGGTGTCAACCGCAATAATAGTATTCCAAGTGCACCTCGAATTACACTCTTGCTCGATGATGTTTGACTGCCTGATCCTACCTGTCACGTTAGACCGAAACGTAAGGGAATTAGTCCATAACATAAACAGAACACGAAACTTGCCAATTGTGCACGTTCACTAAATTGTCACACTTACTGACACATTTAAACACACGCTGTAGAAACCGTACAAGAGTATTATTATTTTACTGAACAACTAAAGCATCTCTTCCTTTATGAAGTATAACTTCAAAGATTGTAAACAGGATTCCGCTTGATGCGTAATAATTTACTAAATCTCATAATTTAGCAAAAGTTACACGTTGTTTCTCAATTGAAACGACAATCTATTTTGGAAACTAAATTAAGGAAAAATTAACATGAAAGCTTTAGCGATCATAATCGTTGCATCAAAAGGTACTGTGTGCCTCTAGTATATACGTACAGTCTATTTCAATTTGTTAGAATTGTGACCTTGAAGAAATCTGCGCGCAGATAGAAAGAATACACACTAGGCGTGAGCAAGACAGAAATAGTTGGAACAAGCTTGAACGAGCAGAGTTCTCGATGGGTAATGTTAGGAGATCGGCTAGAACTGTACAGTACTGGACGAAAATGTTTAGCAATTTCTTAAAACAAAAATGTATATAAATTAACAATAGAAAACAAAGCAAAAGTTTTATAGGTGTGTAGAAGGTTAACTTAATTCACTTGTTATTATTTTTGGTTAAATATGCTTNCGTAATTGCGCCACATCGTTATAATGTACCTCCGTTTCCTGGCGATCCGGAATTACTTCCATTATTTCCATTATTGACGTTATTTTCATCGCTTCCGTGGTGTCCATGCCCACCATGACCACCATGATGATCGTCAGATCCTGGACACGAGTGTACATTTTCGGGATAATCGCACACGTTCAACTTGGGGTTGAATAGCAATCCATTTGGACAAGATTGTTCAACTGGGACTCCGTTGGAGCACTCGTAGAACTTGGAGCAGTCGGATTTGTGTGGTAGGTAGACTGAGTGATCCAACGGATCTACAGCTGGACATACTAGACCGGAAATAGGCACTAACTTTGTACTTAACTTAAGTAAGATACTCTGTTCTAAATGTGGTATCACGGGCGAATGATTAAGATACCGTGTATAGAGAAGGTTAGAAATGAGGAAGAGAGCAGAGGATGCTATGGAAGTCAATGAAAAATAAGTGGGATAGATTTGTAGGAGATAAATGGCTAGTTGGAGACAAATTAGAAGTAGAAATATTTAGGAGTTAAGAGGAGTACACCTACAAGGAAATTATTGTAATTTCGCTACGAGTGTTTCGCATTTGATTAGTTCTTTAAATTAGATACTTTTACTATTCATTTACGAAGTTTAGTAACTTGCAAAGGTAAGTGCTTTTATGGGTACATTTAGTTGTGGCAAACGAAGAGGATAATATTATCGATCGCGTTGACCGTGACCCTTCAACATAAAAGGAGCCTCACCTGCTTTTTGTACTGTCACTATAAATACAACAGGAGGCCGGTAGTAGCACGTCGTCATCCCCGACGTCCCCGTTTTACTTACCTATATTTCCATATTCCTCCTTTTGTTCGTTCATTGCCACGTTAATAAAACGATGTACTAAAACCAACTTGTAAAAGTGCCACTTCCTTTGATCTTTACCGAAGACTTATTTAGTTATATCTTTATAAATTATATCGTATGTTAAACTACCAAAAAATCAGTCGGTAAATGTCTAGATGATGGCCCCCACCTCCGAATGGATGGGATCGAAAGAGGAGGTCTCCCCCACCACTGTACCATAAAAACTTCGTGGCGGTCTCACCCCCATAAGAAGTTATGGATGTTAGATGGGGGTTGGGGTGGGGGGGTCGAAAGAGGGTGGTCACCTGAATAAAACCCCATAAAAAATTTCCGGCGGTCTCACCCCCATAAAAGGTTATAAGGGTTGAAAGTTGATTATTTTGACAATTTTCATACACAAACCCCATAACCTAACCTAATCTACCCTATTGATAAAACTATTTAAATAATGTTTTATATAACTTTCTCAATATTTTATTTTTCATTAGTTTTACCTTTGAATATTGTTTAAGAATGACTATTGGCATATTTATTAACTTTGAACCCCCATAACTTTTTATGGGGATGAGACCGCCACGAACTTTTTATGGTACAGTGGTGGGGGAGACCTCTTTCGATCCCCCCTCCCCCCATCTAGACCTTTACCAGTCAGTCAAATATCATAGCTTTCTACGTGATCTATGAGTTATAATAATACCAATGAAGGATTCATCTTCACAAATGTAGAAACTTTGTACAAAATGCATATAAAATCATTGTGTCTGCTCAAAGCGCTTTCTAATGTTTTAAGGATCCCTTGTAATGACCTTTATGTAGGTCTGCAATAAATGCCCAAGTGAATAGCTAGTTCACGTAACAACGACGAAGTGTTTGCAGTTTTGCAGGTTTGGGCTGGATCCACACTATAAAGTCGATCACGGTTCGTTCGCGGCCCGATCTTGGTCTGGTAAAATCTAATCATGTTCACATTGAACAATCTGACTCAGTTTACGGTTCAGTCTTAATCGAAGTCGGATATATTTGGCTCATAATTGATAATAAAATAAACCTTAAAGTATTTATTGTCTTGTAATATTCGCGGCCGAGAAATGTCATTGAACTTTTCGATTGAAGAATTAGCTGTTGTATCTTTTATTCTTGATGAAGGAGATAATTTATTTATTAACGCAAAAAGAAAACATGAAACAAGAAGAAGAATGCGGGTGAATCTAAGTTTACTGCAACGAAAAAAGGAAGGAGAAACAATTACATTTGATGTAATTGTCGCTTCAACGGGTAATAGCGGACTGAACCGGAAACAAAAGAGCATTCATACTGTCGATACATGTGACAAATTCGACCTCGCTCAAACAAAATTTCTTCAAGACTGATCGCAACTGGAATGGAATTCGACCGTAACTTGACTGTTGCGGATAGTATTAATGCACACATTGCTTTTCATTTGATAATATTTTACCAGACCGAGATCTGACCGCGAATGAACCGTAATCGACCTTATAGTGTGGATCCGGGCTTAGCGCTCCTTCATCGTTGTGGAACAAGGACAGGATCGCGGCAGTTCGGTCAGTATTATACACCTGCATACGTTTTGTATGTGCACCTACATGCACATGGGTCCTTGAGGTGTTGGTACAGCATTATAAGTACCGTTTATGATAGATATTGACGGAACTACTGAACCTAACCATCAGTTTAATATTTCTCGGTTTTCTCTAACAATTAATTTATTTTCGAAAGCACGAACTGTCACTGTGACATTCATTTGTTGTAGATCTGTGTAATTAATTTCTCGCTTTTGGTCTCTATTGAACTTTAACTGCCTCATTAAATAACAGTCAAATCTTAAGAGCAAACGCTACAGTGTGACTAGTGAAGTTATGATTTCTATAAAAATTCCGTTGCATGAGATTTTTCTTTATCCCACCTGTTTTTCGCATAATCTGCGTATTTTTGAGTATTTACTGTCATGAAGTGAAGGCACTACAGCTTTATTTATGAAATACACCTCAATCCCTTAACGGTTGTTGACCGTTTGTGTCCATTAATTCATTAAATTTTTTGCGAAACAGCTGTCTACTTTGACACCTCCCGCATGGCCGTTCTTATTTCTTTAAGTACGGTTTCATTACCTGTAAGTCCAGTAAATAAATCACCTATTCGGTGCCTGTATTTAAATTATATTATGCATAGTATATGTGGCTTTGTTGATTTGCATTTGATTGGTATTCCAATTTTATTAGAAATACCAAGCTATAACACCATTTTCAGAATGGCGCGTTCACGAACTAAAGCATAGTTTCTGCATTCTATTAAAAATTAAATTTGTCAACTCAATAGGTCTACGCATTCCGCTTCATGCCAATAACCCATCACTTAAGTTACTAGCCAATACATTAAATCCCACTATATTCAGAATATTTTATAAACCTTACACATTCAAAATGAACACCAATTAATTAAGCATGATATAATAATGGTTAGCATAGTTTTATAAAAGCACAATATATTTCATGTCTGAAACTTTAACAAAGGCTTGAATTCGCCCGATAATCACAAACACTAAGGTCGGTATTAAAAACTAAGCCATCTGGACAAGATAATTCAATTGGGACTCCGTTGGAGCACTCGTAGAACTTGGAGCAGTCGGATTTGTGGGGTAGGTAGACTGAATGGTCCAACGGGTCTACAGCTGGACATACTAGAAAGCAAAGAACGAATACAATTGTCGTAATTGCGCAACACCGTTATAATGTACCTCCGATTACTGGCGATCCGGAATTACTTCCATTATTTCCATTATTGACGTTATTTTCATCGCTTCCGTGGTGTCCATGCCCACCATGACCACCATGATGATCGTCAGATCCTGGACACGAGTGTACATTTTCGGGATAATCGCACACGTTCAACTTGGGGTTGAATAGCAATCCATTTGGACATGATTGTTCAACTGGGACTCCATTGGAGCACTCGTAGAACTTGGAGCAGTCGGATTTGTGTGGTAGGTAGACTGAATGGCCCAACGGGTCTACAGCTGGACATACTAAAAAGCAAAGAACGAATACAATTGTCGTAATTGCACCACATCGTTATTATTTACCTCCACTTCCTGGCGATCCAGAATTACTTGCATCATTTCCGTTATTTCCGTTAGTTGCGTGATTTGCATCACTTCCGTTATTATCATCTAAGCTATGACATTGTACATTTTTTGGATAATCACACACTTGCAACTTTTTGTTGAATAGCAAACCGCTTGGGCATCGTTGTTCAACGGCAACTCCATTGGAACATTGATAAAATCTTGAACAATCACTTTTGTGGGGTAGGTAGATCGAAGTATCAATCGGATCAACTTCAGGGCATTTTTGTTTTTGACACACTACGTTATCGGGCCAGTCACATACGTTTAGGTCTGAATTGAATAGGGTTCCTTCGGGGCATTGTAAGAGATTTGGAATACCGTTGGAGCATTCATAAAATTTGGAGCAATCGTTTTCATGTGGCAAATAAATAGACTGATCCAGAGGGTCTACAGCTGGGCATTCTAAAAGAGTTTTAATACACAAATGTTAGTAATCCACATTAAAGTAACATATTACACTTTAGGAACATCATACAACATATGGAAGGAATTACTTACTAATGTTTGCAGCTGCACTTTCCTCTAGATACAAGAGGCTGCACAGAAGAGATAGGCCTGAAAATTTAACAATAGTTATGACAAAGTTTTCTGGAGTATGTTTATATGGAAAAGATCACGATTTTGCCTTCCTAAATAGTTATAAAAACATTAAGTTCAAAATAAGTTATGCTTTTAAAAGCATTTTCGAATCATGATGTCTCCTCAAATTCATGAAAATTTTGATTTCATATTAATGAATAAACAGTTATATTTTTAGGCAAAATTATTTATACTTCGTTTAATACCCACTTAGAACTGTTTTCATCGTACAAGTTATCGAAATGGAATAACTGAGTTTATTTGGATAAACTTCATTATGTATAGATATATTTTTTTTTATTCATATACGTTAGATGTATTCTCTAAAGATAAGACAATGCTGTTGGAGCAGGTATATAGTTTCAGACATTTTGGAATAAATACGTCATCTTCACGGAGTATTCAAGCACTTCCTGACGATGAATGTGTGATAAGTCTGATATAGCTAATCGAATGATGCTGCTTTTAATATTAACTATTTTTTAATAAGACATTGTTGTTTATTAGTTTAGTTTCACAAAAAACGTGCACACTGCGCATGAATATTTATTCTGTTAAGGTTATTCATTCATTCATATTTCCATCAATTTCAGAAGGAGTAAGACAAAGCAACCCATAGTTTGCTTTCCCTGTCATATTTCACTTTGTTTAAGTAATCATTCAAGGTATTTATTTATTATTTTCAGATATTAGTTAGTATATTATTTAATTAATGTTTTAGTATCCCCTATACGAGATGATAAATAAAACTGCATTTATGAAAGTAATTATTATAAATGTATCATTAGTAAAACCGTAAACACGTGTCAAGGCAGGATGAACTCCACACCTAACAAAGTATTGCTCAATATCTGTACATTCAAACTTGGGATAGTTTAGAGGAAAGGATTAGTGTTTTTATAAACAAATTGATAGTTAATACTGTTTTTACTGGTTTCTTTTTATTGTCAGAATAGTGTTGTAACGATTTAATGCAGCTTATTTCAGAAATTGCCTGATAAATTTTTAACGGTAAATCATTTATCTTTACGTACAAAAATAAGTGCACGTGTTTGCAATGTACAATAAATATATACTATAGATTTATCATAAGATGAAAGATAGTGTCAGCTAAGTTATTTTATCGGGTTTCCATAAACAACATTAATTTTTATGGATGTGTTTTTTTCACAAAAAATACCCTTTGATTTTAAAATTCATACAGTGTAGAAGTTTCTGTAAATTTTCAGTTTTCAATTTTTAAATATAGGAGTACTCTGTTTGTTTATTCTCCAAAAAAATGCAAATACATTTCGGGGTAGATACATATATGTTGATAGCAGGGAGCGCAATTATCCGGAGGAAAGCAAAAGTGTCAATCCCATTCAGTGAGAACTTGTGTGGGGAATGAATTCAATCATCCAATGATTTTGCATTTCCGCATTTTGAAATTAAAGCAATAAATGCTGTTAAAATTAAAATATTAGCTTGGTAAATACCGTTTTATTGATTGTTTGGCAATGTCACTATGTAATACAATTGCCTTGTTTTTAATTAAGCAGTGCCTATTAAAACAATTGAAAAAATAAAATGTACTAAAGTACAAAACTATTGTATCTTTACTTACATCTCCCATATAAATACAAATTCATCGTACATTATATATACAGTTAAATATTTTTATTAAATTTTCTTAATTTCGGTTATCATCTTAGCTTGGACAAGAGTCTACATTTTGAGGATAATCGCATACGTTCAATTTGATGTTAAATAACAGTCCACTCGGACAAGACAGTTCTATTGGCACTCCGTTGGAGCACTCGTAGAACTTTGAGCAGTCTGATTCGTGTGGAAGATAGATTGAACGATCCAATGGATCTACAGCTGGACATACTAAAAGTAAAGATATGGAAATAATCAATATCGTACTATATCGTTATTATTGTCTCATGTTATTATTCTCATAATCGTTCGATATCATTATTACTTACCACCACTTGCTGACGATCCTGAATCGTTTTCGTCACTTCCGTCACTTTCATCATTTCCGTTATTTCCGCCACTCCCTTCAAGTTCATTACTTTCATCAGTGCCATTAATTATTTCATTATTTCCATCACTAACATCGCCGCCTTCACTGCCGTTTTCCGCATTTGCGTCATTTTCATCAGCTCCGCTGTCATTTGAGCCTGGACATGAGTCCACATTTTCGGGATAGTCGCACACATTCAACTTGGTGTTGAAGAGTAATCCACTTGGGCATGACTGTTGAACAGCAACACCATTGGAACATTGGTAATCACTTTCGTGGGGTAGGTAGATCGAAGTATCAATCGGATCAACTTCTGGACACTTTTGTTTTTGACACACCACGTTTTCGGGCCAGTCACATGCGTCTAGGTCTGTATTGAAAAGGGTTCCTTTGGGGCATTCTAAGAGAATAGGAACCCCATTCGAGCACTCGTAGAATTTGGAGCAGTCGGATTCGTGTGGTAGATATATTGAACGATCCAATGGATCTACAGCTGGGCATACTAAAATTGCTACCATGAGGATTGTTATAATCGTGTGATATCGTTGTTACTTACCACCACTTGCTGACGATCCGGAATCATTTTCGTCACTATCGCTTTCGTCACTGCCATTACTTTCATCATTTCCGTTATTTCCGTTATTTCCGCCACTCCCATCAGGTCCTTGACTTCCATCAGTGCCATTAATTACGTGACTTCCATTATTTCCATCAGTGCCGTTATATCCATGACTTCCATTATTTCCATGGCTTCCATCAGTGCCATTAATTACGTGACTTCCATTATTTCCGTTATTTCCATCAGTGCCATTAATTACGTGACTTCCATTATTTCCGTTATTTCCATCAGTGCCATTAATTACGTAACTTCCATTATTTCCATTATTTGCATCGCTGCCGTGCTCCGCACTTCCGTTATTTTCTCCAGCTGCGTTGTCATTTGAGCCTGGACATGAGTCCACATTTTCGGGATAATCGCACACATTCAACTTGGTGTTGAAGAATAATCCACTTGGACATGACTGTTGAACAGCAACACCATTGGAACATTGATAAAATTTTGAACAATCACTTTCGTGGGGTAGGTAGATCGAAGTATCAATCGGATCAACTTCTGGACACTTTTGTTTTTGACACACCACGTTTTCGGGCCAGTCACATACGTCTAGGTCTGTATTGAAAAGGGTTCCTTTGGGGCATGCTAAGAGAATGGGGACCCCGTTGGAACACTCGTAAAATTTAGAGCAGTCGCTTTCATGGGGTAGATAGACTGAATGATCTAGAGGGTCTACAGCTGGACATTCTAAAAGAATTTAAAATTATTATATGGGATAAACTAACTTTAAGTAAATTCATATAGGATAATCGAAAGAAATGGTCACTTACCACTGCTTGCAGCTGAAATACCCCCAAGGCACAGGATGGTGCACAATAATGATAAATCTGAAAAATAAAAAAAGTTCTTATAGTTCACTCTTCGAAGCAAAATTGTCACTCAGAAATATATAAACGTTTAGAACTATAATTTTATATTACTGGAATTGAATTTATTCTATAATTTTTGTTATTAATGTCATTAAAGTAATGTTAATATTTAGTTTGGTACATACTTATAACCGTTTTCATTGTATAAGGTGTCAAAACTGAATTACTTTACTGAAGTTATTTCGATAAACCCCTCATATATATATGTTTATTGAAAGGTGCTCTGTATTAGTTAAAAATATCAAATGATAAGCATGCAGCTGCAGTAAATAAGTAATAAATCATTTTAAATAATACGTCACCTATACTTAATAAACACTTGAAATAAATGAATATGTAGTACTGTATAAATTGATGATGGTACATTTATTACTAATTCCACATTTCTATTTTGCTGTATTAATATTCAGGATCTTGAAGTCCCGAAAATGCGTCAATTATTATGAATTTTATCCCTTACATTTTGAGGAAGAATTCTTAAACGAAGATACCACCTACTACTTTGATCCCAAGCTCTCTTTTCGCTATTGAACGCTTAACAACTGCTTGTAACGCTTATTCATCGTAAATTGGCGGAGAAATCATATTCGACGAGTTCTATCTGTCGTCCAAGACTGGTCGAAATGTTAGTTACCGTGCAGCATACATATGTAAGACTTATTTACAATACAATACATGAATTGTATGAATAAAAACATGATATCAAATTACGATACCAACTAAAGTATTTCAGATGTTAGTCGAAGGTCTTTCCAAAGTCTGCTGGTCCAACAACGTAAACCAAATTAACAGGAACGGATGAAGTTCTTGGTCAGTTTTTATCGAAACTGGTAGACATTGATCGCGATTACAATCCTATTAGATCCGATCAACTAAAATCTGTTAAACTTTTGGGTGTTTACGGCGGAAGGTAGAGTGGAAGGCCCCCTCTAGCCTTCTTGCAGGAATCGCAAGTTTTGGTGGGTGGTAATTAAATAAGATATGAGAACAAGATAAAGCTAAAGGAAAAGTGAAGAATTACTTGTGGAATATCATTAGTTCTCTAGCATTTGCCTAAGTGACCCAAGGAAACCACAAAAAAACTTGGATCAAGGCAGACGAATTTGGAATCGGGCCGGTATCATCCTGAGTGCTAAGTGATCGCCCCTAGATCAACAGTTGGCAACTAGCAGAATACGGCGTAGGTCTAGATGTGGGCATTTTCTCCTATCATATTGGACAATATTAACCATTCCTTACCCTAAACATTATGCACATTTCTGAGTACAGATGGTCTACAAATCAGAAAAATGGTGGAGGAAAAGTAAGAACGTGATTTGAAACTTATTGCAACCACTCCTAAATTAAATTATTAAACAAAATAAACTTCTTTTATTCATGTTTTCATTTATTTGTAACGAAAGGTTTGACAAAATTTAAAGAATAATAATTGATATATGATCAAAATCGAAACTCAAAGTTACAAGAAGTAGCTCAAAGATCCTTCAAGCATGTAACATATTGAACTAAAGACCGTATTACAGAAAATTTTTCATTGTTGCCCAACCAACTCTGACAGACATAACTATCTACCTTTCTTAACTTAACAACGGAATGTTCAAAACGCAGCAAATGACTACAACCAGAAGTGGAAACAAGAAAGAAGATACGTTCAATCTCACAGATAGTTTATTGCGGACTATGTTAATTTTATCCCTCGATTCGTCCACAGCTGTGTATTGAATTTTGATGATGAAAAACATCAACACTGACTACCTTACAAACAATGAAGAGAGTGTACCAGCATGATCCTTCGAAAGGACAGATGGCAGAATATGACTTGGGGCAGATCATCCTTGAGGAAGGGACAATGTTGTGTGCGACCTCCTCAGGTTAAATTATGTTAGGTTAGGTTAAACATCAAAACTGAGAACCCTACAAATAATGAAGATAGTGTATTGCTACTTTTATTTAACGTCCGGATGGCATAATGACCAGTGTGATAAGTACCAGCGTGATAATTCGAAAACGGCAGACGTTTGGTCTGTCGGGCAAAAGCCCATAGTACAGTTATAAATAATGCACTTACACCTACATGAAATTAATTACGAGAGTGTTCGGTAAGCACTTTTCCAGAAAATCTCAAGAACATTCCAAAGCAATATAAATAGATGACTAGTGAACAACTGAAGTCCAGCAATTCAGGCATAAATAAAGCCGATCCAAAGTAATACATGATGATATTAATTCAGTGTGAGGTTAATAAACGTTTGTGAATTTGAATGATTACAGGTATAGTGGTATTCTGTAAAATAAATTACTTCTTGATAATACCCCGTTTAAATAAATATAATTACGCTAAAAGATTTGTTACAATACATTACATACTGATAAACATTATCTTGTTTTTTTGCTTTATCTGTTGTAAAAGAAATTTTTTAAAAAAACCCGGAATGGAACAAGTAGTACTCGAATTGGTAGTGTAGTCATTGTTAAGTATAAAATTCATTATCAGAACGACGACTTAATCATGAAATATATACGTGTATTTACGTGTATATAAATATGTATATCAGTTTCTTAAGTTGCAGTTCATTTTATAAAGGTGGGTATATCAGTCTTAGTGAAAGTCCACGTATGTATATACATACAATAATATTCCATAAATTTATCATACAATGAAAGATAATGCCACTCATGTATCATTTTATCGAATTTCATGCTTATGTGTTCATAAACAGCGTTAGATAATATTACTTATTGAACGCACTCTTTTCACAAAAAAGTACCGTCTTACTAGATTTNCTACTTAGCCACGTAGTCGAGTTCGTAGTGGGGATCGCTTGAGCAGTGAGCGCGCTTCAATGCAACGTTCGTTACAGGCAACTCCGATATGTATAGTGCAAAATTTAAATTCATAGTGTACAAATAATACCATTAAACCAATTCCTTAACCCCTATCCCGATAATATTACGTGTTTAGTGAAAGTCCACGTATGTATATACATACAATAATATTCCATAAATTTATCATACAATGAAAGATAATGCCACTCATGTATCATTTTATCGAATTTCATGCTTATGTGTTCATAAACAGCGTTAGATAATATTACTTATTGAACGCACTCTTTTCACAAAAAAGTACCGTCTTACTAGATTTGTATTAATCTCAAGGCCTAATGATGGAAATACAAATGACTTGATCTTTAGACGAAGTTGGACTTCCAAGAGTAGGTCCAAATATCCAACAATTACTATCATTAAGTTGCTATATATCTTTTATTAAAATTGTCAAACTGAACAATAGCAAAATTAAAAATACGAAATATTTATATTATTTATTTACTACTTAATTTATACGATGGGGTTATAATTAATATTTTTTTTAACATACATATGTAACAATACCACAAACCGCGGAATTTGAAAACAAATAGCGAATAACATCAAATTATAAATAGTTTAATATTAACAATGTTTTCACTCGTAATCTTGAATAAGTCTAATAACTGATTGTGGGTTTTTGACTCAATAAAAACTGTATTAGCCTAAAAATAGGCTTCATTTTCGCATTCAATTGAATAAGGAGAACAAATGGGACGTTCCAAATTGGCACAGTCCGCAATTTACTGAGCAACTAACAAAGTTACCAACGAGTGCAGTGCTGGAAGTACTCTCCTTGTCATATTATAGTGATTGCTGTTTAAAAAGAATGACCATGGTAGAAAGTATCAATCTTACAAAGTCTGAGTTTGAAATTTGACTACGCTTGGAGATTTTTAGTATATACAGTCTCTAACTTATGTTTGATCATCAGACGATGCACCAGTACACAACACATTAGTTTTCGCGATGATTAAAATGAATGTGCAAAATTATTTTATGTGGCAGGGTGGAAAGAGATTTGATAATAATAAAGAAAACTGTGGTTGGGTACTTCTGGAACTATCCTCGCATTACGTATTTGTCCTCATACTTACCTACTCCATGTTCTTAATGAGCGGTACTTCAGAGACAGCCAATTTTCTATTTAGTAGTATAAAATACTACTTGGTGTCGACCTAAATTCTTTTTCTTATAGAATTTATTCTAAAATAAACAGTATTTTCTATAAACTTGTCGAGTGTCACGCTCTCAATTGTCTGCCTTGATTATCTCCTTAACTTCTAAATCAGAGTCGGCCTCTCGACATGATCATTCATTAAATCAGTATTGTGTTTTATGAAGATTGGAAAAACTTTGGCGGTTGTTGTAGAACAAACAGAATAGCTGAAAACCCCAACGCCAAAACACGACACTGTAGTTGTCCGAAGCACTTTTCGGTAACAAAGTTACCTTCTTCAGGGACTGAAGTAAACTGTTTTAGTCAGTCCCTGAAGAAGGTAACTTTGTTACCGAAAAGTGCTTCGGACAACTACAGTGTCGTGTTTTGGCGTTGGGGTTTTGAGCTATTCTAGTATTGTGTTTTAAAAATATAATGCAGAATTTGATCTTTTAGGGTGTAATAGTATGATAAGCGCCCCTCTGGCAGTCATATATTTTGCGAAATGATAAACTAAACTAGGATACGTGTACTCATGAACAAGTAGACTTATTTTTTCTTTTAGTTTCAAAACTTTAGCGCGCGCCCCTTTTTAACTCTGCGTCACTATATACTTACCTAGATTTTTAAGTAAGTATGTGAAGATATGGGAAGTCAACATCAATTACTTCTTTTACAGACGAACATGAGATGACTTTTAAGAGGAAAAGTTGAGCAACCATTACCCTAGACAAAAATTTTCAGTCTCTCAGAGTCTTTCAGCATCTCTGAGAGCGTCCCTCAGTCTTTCACAGTCTCTCAGTTATTTCCTAGGTGTTTTTATGGATCTCTCACAGTCTCTGTATGACAGACTCGGACGATAAAGTTGTTAATTCAGATATTCGAGTCTCTCACACAGAGACTGAATGAATAAAACTGAAAAATTGAGAGACTCGAGTCTCTCGTAGAAAGACTAGGATCTCTGAAATATGTTGAACTTAAAACTTAATCAAGTCTATCGAGACACCACTTATTGAGAGATTCGAGTCTCTCGTTCAGACATTCGAGCCTCTTCAAAGATTCGAGTCTCTCGTTCAGAGACTGGATACGAAATAAGGATCTCTCTATGAGCGACTCAAGTTTCTCGTTCAGAGACGCTAAGCAGTTTTTTGACAGT